CTATTCCTTTCTATTAGTTTGTTTTCAAAGTAAGGGCAATAACATAGTATGTAATTACAAAGAACTGATATATTTCTTATCATTGTTTCCTACACCTTCTAACTTACGTTGATTTATCATACCTAAAGCAGCAGAAATAGACAGGCATAGCGAATAAGGCGAGGGAAGGTGAGCCATTATGAAATGTGGGTGAAGGTACGTAAATACTGCCAGTTAAAGCTAATGTCTGCATATTTTAAAGAAGCCAATTTGACACCTTCCTTATTAAATCCATTCCAATATTCTGTCCCTATGAGAAAACTTTCCTTAAACTAAATTCTTCCACTACCAGCCTAATCTTGCTATTACTTGCTGCTTAAAAAGAAATACAGATAAAGTCTGATAATAATCCTAATAACACATGAGGACCACTTTTTCATTTATTGGGCGAGCAAAAGCCAAAGGAACTGGTAACATAAAATGATGACGAGTATGCATGTACAGAGGCACGTCTGTTTACCCTGACAAGGAATTCCATTTTAAGTCAATGGTTGTGCGTGGTGTAAGATACGGGTCCAACTTCATTCCCCATTGAGTGGTCTGGTATCCTCATCAAAGATCATTTGACTATATATATAAGGGTTTATTTTTGGGCTTTGTATTCTATTCCACTAGTCTATTTGTCTGTTTTTATGTCAGTACCATACAAGTTTGATTACTGTAACTTTGCAATACGTTTTGAAATCAGGAAGTATGAGTCCTCCACATTTTTATTCTTTTTCAAAATTATTTCCACTATTCAGGGTCCATGTCTCATTTTTTATGTATGCTATGATGCAAAAAAAAAAAAAAAAAAAGTTGGGAATGTCTGACTCCTCTAGAAGAATGTCTTCCAACGTTTTGCTTACAGATACCCCCAAAGAGTTCTTCGCTAGTATGATGTAAGTTCTCATATACCATAAACATGGACATTTCAATATATATTTATATCATCCTCTTAAAGTTAGCAGATTCTGAATATTATCGGGAAATGACACCTACCAACATCCATTAAGAAATATGATGATCTTCTCTAAGAGTAATTTTATAAGTCCTATTTCTCCTTCTGTTTCCACTTTATTTCCTCCAAAGAATGCTATTCTAATATAATTTTTATTACCAGGCCAAAAATTTTTCTGCAAAAGAGATATGAACTGAAAAAAAAAAACAAGTTTTCCTGTGATCATAAGGCTCTAAGTATTAAAATTTGTCTTCTTACTTGACTTACTGCAATTATTGTTAGAAGCAGATAAATGAGAACAACAACATACATCCACCACAAATTCTGATAGAGCTCTTTACAAAACCTGATGTGTAATAAAAGGTAGCCTGGAGTGATGACCAAAATCCATGGCCTTTGCCATTCCTAGAATTCCAAGTAAACTATCTATAGGAGGGCAAGCTCTTTTCCTGACTTTTATTTGTAAATGAAAGCACCATTTTAACTGTAAAATGCGGGCTTTGCAAATGGGCTCACTGGTTAAGAGGTTCTTTCTCCATTTCTTTTCTACCTGAACTGAGAGTAGCCACAATAATACCCATAAATACCTACCTAAGAATTTGATTTAAAAGGGTAATGAATTAAATATTTGCAAACTCATAGGCATATTGCAAATTAACCGAGATGTATGGGGTATGATTATATCCCCACTTGCCTGGACTGAGTTCATATCCTCAAACTACCCTTTGCTGTGTGACCTTGGACAACTAGTCCATCCCTGTGTGCCTAAATTTTAGCACCTATAACTGTGCCATACAGTATGGTAGCCATTAGCCACATCTGGTTATGTAAATTAAGTAAAATAAAAAATTCAGTTCCTCAGTAGCACTTGCTACATTTCAAGAACTCAACAGCCTGATGTGGCTAGAGACTACCATACTGGACGGCACAGACTGCGATGAAAAATAAACAAGGTGATATGATAGAGAGTAACAGGTGAGGCCAAGGAGGTAAGAGTGACTGCTTTAGATTAGATGGTGGAAAAGGCCTCCCTGAGATGCTGACATTTGAGTTAAGACTTGCATGACAAGGTGCAGGTAGCACAAAAGGCCTGCATAGAACATCCAAGGTAGAGACAAGGGCAAGGGCAAAGGCCTCAGGTGCAAATGAGCCTGGCTGTCTTAACAGCACAAAGTGTCTGAAGCATAAGAAATATGGGAGAGGAGCAGGAGGTACAGGAAGTGGCAGGAGGCAGGGCCTCAAGAGTCTTGTACGCCAGGCAAGAATTTTGGATCTTATATAAAGTGCACTTGTAAGCATAGAGAGTTATAAACAGGGGAATGCTATGATATAGACAATGTATGCCTTTAAAAGTTCACTCTGACTGCTTTTGGGAACTAGTTACAAGAAAGCAAGAGTGGAGAGATGCAGGAAGATCTGTTTGAAGACTGATGTCACTGGCCAAGTGAGAAGAGACGGTGGCTTGGACTAGGGCAGCAAGACATAGGAAATGTGTTCTTTTATTCTACATCCTCCGTCTACAGTCCTGTAGCGACTACCCTTCACAACCTGGATCCCTGAAATAGTCAACTTCATTAACTCCTCAAAACGCCGTGAACAAGCTGTTTGCCCCAACCATTCCACCAAGCCTGTTCTGAGCTCCCAGTCACCGCCACCTCCCCAAAACCCACGAACACATTTCTGTCCTCATCTTAGCTGACCTCTGCTGCACCTGCAACTGCTGACCCCTCTCGTCTTTCATCCAAGTCTCTCCTCCCTTAGCTGCTAGACCATCATGCTCACGTGGTTTTGCTCTGTAACTCTTCCTCAGGCTTCTTCCAATTAACCTCCACTTGACGCTTAAAACTTCGGTACTCAGTTCACATCACTTTGCAGTCACTCAGTGACGCAAAAGATGTTTCCATCAATGACAGACCACATACACGACGGTGGTCCTATAAGATTACAACAGAGCTGGAAAATTCCCACTGCGTAACAACTTCGTGGCCGTCTTACTGTCACAGCACAACGCGTCACTCCTGAGTTTGTGGTGCTGCCAGCGTCAACAAACCTACTGCGCTGCCAGTTGTATAAAAGTACGGCACACACAATCGCAGTAGTAGGTGGAGCCATCCAGGTCTGTGTAAGTGCACTCTATGATGTGCACACGACAACGCACGGGGCATGACTGTATGCATACATAATCCTTGAAACAGGTGTGACGCTTTTTGCTGATAACTCTCAAATCAACATCTCTGGCCAGGAATCCTTATTAAGTGTCAGACCTCTGTATCTAGCGTTCAGCTGGACCCCCTCCCGTGCACAGACCACAAACATTTAAAATGCCAAACGTCCAAAACCTATCCACTTCATTCTCTCTCTTTATAGGCCTTTACTCAAGTCAAAAGCCCACAGGCATCCTTGCCCACTCTCGCCCATCGGCTCTGATAGCCCCTCATTGCCTGGTCTCCACTAGGTCCTGCAGATTCCACCCCCTTACGAGCGCTCTAATCCAGCCTTGCCTTTCAAGTCCTGCTCGGGCTATTTTAGTTCAAACGCCAATCACTTCTCACAAGGGTTATTGGAATAGTCTCCCAACCAATGCACCTGCATCCCATCTCTCCTGCACACAGCTGTCAAAGCACATAACAGCGATTCACAATCTCTACCGACTACATTGAGTTCACATCTGACCACGTCCTTTCTCAGCTTCGGGTCTCCCAGAGGCACCCTGCCACTTTCACAGGCTTCTCGTGACCGTCCGGCTCCCTGGTGTCCCCTCGCAGGTTTTCTTTGATCTCTCAGTAGCGTGCCATTCCAGGCCGCCCCTCCTCTGCGCGTGTTACAACCTTTCCCTTATTCACCTCCCTGCTCCTCCAAGGGGAGGCGTAAGTATTGCCACTTCAGGGAAGTGTCCCTTGTGCCCCACATAAGCATACCTATATTTATAGATTCATACTTATTTGTCAATATATAGTATACATGTTTATATATGTACATATCTTAGTCGAACCGCATGGTAGCTGCTAATTTATTTGTCCCAGTAAATTATATGCTCCGAGAGGGCAGAGACCACCAGTTCGATTTGCTTTGCTTTGGTATGATACCTTCTAAATTTAAAAAACAGAGAGGAACTTATGTAGTGGGCTTTGATCACCAGCCCAGAAGAGACCAAAGTGACAGCGCCGTACTACAAGCTAAATGCGCTTCAGATCGGAAATAGGAAGAAAACAAACACAAAACACACAGCCTTTCAGTGGGAGACCTGTGGGAAGTTCCGAGGAACTAGGCAGAGTCTAATAAACCAGGCTTAGGATTTCACACTCCGTGGGCAAAGCCTCCACACTCTTTGATGATAATAACAGGTGGAAGGCTTCTCACCTCAATGAAGCGCCTGAACTGTGCGTGGCCGCGTTACTGTAATTAACACGGAAATGACACGTTCCATGTCATTTTAGTTCTTGCTGTAGATTCTCGCTCACCTCCTGACAGGTTATTACCCCGACTTCGGAGCGCTTAACTCACCTCCTTAGGGGTCACTCAACTGTCAATCAGCCATTTACTCTCTAAATCTGAAGGGGGGCGGGGCGGGGGTGGGAGAAGAGAGCCCTGGGCAACAATAAACCCTTTCGGAAGGGCAGGCAGCCAGGCAGCCAGGCAGCCGAGGGCCACAGACCCCGGGGTGGAGGAGCCGGGGTGAAGGCCAACATCAGGATGGAGCGCCCGCCGACAGCTGGCAGGGGATCCCCGGGGAGAAGAGGCGATCACGGAACAGGCAGCGCCGGGTGGGAAGAAGAGGGAGACGGGACGAGAGGAAGCTGGACGCAGTTTCTGGCCCGAGAGCGAGGTGTTTAGGAGAAAGCTGGGGCGACAGGAGGGCGACACCGACGCGACCAGGGCGGAGGGGGGTACAGGACGAGGAGGGCAGGGCGTCATCGCTGGAAGGCGTGCGGGGAAGTAGGGGCCCCCAGGACAGAGACGGCGGGGCCGAACGGAGACCCGAACCCGCCGGGCGAGGGGCGGCGAAGCGGGGGACACTTACTGGGGTCCCTCCGCAGGGCGCCGATGGAGGTCTCCTCCCGCAGGTGAGGGAAGAGGAAGTCGCGGGCGGCCTGGAGGTCCTGGAAGTGGCAGAACTGGACAATGGAACAGGCCATGGCTGCGGGGAGCCCCGCTGGTGCACGCACCTTACCTGACCACGCCCTGCCCCCCGCCACCCCTCGCGGCCACAGCCCAGCCCGGACAGCTTCAGCCGCGCAGGGGCGGGGAAACCGAACCGGAAGCTGTCAGCGCACGCGGGTGCTCCGCTCCAGAGTATTGCGTTTGCGCAGAACGGCGCCGGCGGACGCGCTCCCAGTCACGTGACCAGCGGCTGTCGCCGGCTCTGACGCCGACGTGGAGACCTCAGACCGAGGTCGGTCGGGGTTCTGCGCCTCCACCCGGGAAGGAGCTCTTTTATTCATTATGGCTTTTAGCTAGACAGTACCTCATTGGATGATGTCTGCGTCGGCCTTGGTAATTTGACCAGTCTTGTTGGTGTCTTGCTGTTGGTACGGTCCTGATTTTTCTCAGAATACTCCCTGTTAAAACTAGGACAGTGGGGGACGGTGTCATGGAAGTGTCCGAGGTCGCAAAGATTAATTTCTCCTCCGTCAAGGTTAGCTTGAAATGCTCCCCCGACAAATTGCCATGGTGCTGTTCACGCCCAATGCAGCGCGCGTCGCACTGTGTTACACTCTTACACGGTCTGTCGACCTGCATTTGATTTTCCATTCATTCTCTCATCCGCCCATTCAAGAAATGTGTTGCTCGTCGTTTCTATTCCAGACACGCGAGGCGTGGAGTATAAAGCAGAGAACAAAAGACATTAAATGCTTGTTCCCGTGGAGCGAAAATTCTAGGAGCAGTTAATTACTCAACTATTGAACTGAAATGAAAAAAGCTATTTAACAGCTAATGGTAAGGAAGGAAGGAAGTACAAAGTGCTATAACAGAACATAACAGGGAATCTTGCCTAGTTTTTTTGTTTGTTTGTTCTATTTTATTGGGGGATGGGCGCTCACAGTTGCCAGGATCAGGTACAGATTTTGTTGTAAATTCCTGGAAGTTGGGATCTCATTTAATGCCACTTTATGTCCATAGTTATCTAACATAGGACCTGGCATATCGTGCTTAATAAATATTTGCTGAAGGAATAAATGAAATGGGATGTGTACATAAAGTAAACAGAATGACCTCTTTTTTTACAAAGTACTTTGTATTTTTAAAAGTACTTTTCTCTACATTATCCAATTGGATAGTCACAATGTCATCTAGAAAGTGTCTTATCCTAATTTTTAAGTGAAATTTAAGTGTCTTTGAGAAGCCTCGACGTTCATTTAAATTATTTTTCTAAAAAGTAAAAACCAAAGAAGGAGTTATTTTAATGTTAACCCAAAGCACTGCAGACACTCATATATTTGCCAAAAGAAACCTAAAGTGGCCGTCCACTTTGTGTGGCAGAAAATGGGATGGAAATAAATTGAAGGCATATAGGTGAAGACCAGACCATTTATATCTGTCAGGGCTGCATGTACACCCTTAGTCCAAAAAAAAGTAACAATTACAATTTAGTGCCTAGGTTCCTACTCCATTAGTTCCTGTTTCTAGAGTAGAAGAAACTTCTCAAAATAGGATTGATAATTCCTATGTTACCAGATTACCCATGGATCACCTATAAAAGAGATGATCGGATGAGCTGTGCTCTAAGTTTCCTTACACATCAGAGACCTGTAACTCTGTATTCAAAGCTTGCAGAAAAGGCAAGTGTTCAGTGCTCCCATTTTCCATCCAAAAAAGGAGAAAAATGCCATGCTTCCTCAGATCATCCAGTCCCAATGATCAAACCCCAGAATATGACCATAATACCAAAATAGAATAAATTTTAAATTTAGACTCAGCTCTACAGCTGAGAACAGGTGACACTTTTTAGAAGCACATAGTGTGGTTGCTTGAAAGCCATTCAAGTTCCTATTCAGGTAAGTGCGTTTTGTGGAAGTGGCTGCCTTTGGCTGATTCAGCTGGCCTTTGTTCTGCTCCCGAGCATTCATACATCTCTTGTGTGGCGGCCACTGAATTTCATTACCGCTCAGTTTCAATGGTGAAGTTCCTGACTTCTGTCCAAGTGGTATTGAAAAGGCTCATTCATGAGTGTTTTTAAGGACTTCAGATAGCTTTCACAGAAATTACAACACATTCATGGACTGCACTCTTCCCCCAGGAAGTTGTAAAGCTGCCGGGAGTTCTGCTGTCATGGTTCCTGCGGAGTGCGGGAGGATTGTGTTGGACAGTGGATGTTGCTAACTGGACACTCCTAAGAAAGCACGTTGCAGGAAACGCCCGGGCTTTGCACAGCCCAGCAGAGAGACACTGTCTCTCCCTGAGGTGCGAACTCAGGAGCTGAGAAAGGCGATAAGACCAACGCAATCGCAGGAGAGTACTAATGTGAACTCTCTCCAGTATCCATTACTGTGAGCTACAGCACGGATAACTCATTAAGAGAAAGAGGCTTACCGAGCACGCTGAGCAGCGGGGCCTTCCACGCCTTTACCAGCAGCCTGAGGCTGACGGTATTGAGATCCAGGGTGGCAGGGAAGTGGGGGTGGGGCAGTGGACGTGGAGTCAGGAGACCGAAGGTCTGTCTCAGCTTGGCCGCTAATATAGTCACAGGCACTTGGGCAACGCACGTCACCTTCCTGGACCTTACTGGCTTGATCAGTAAAATGAAGAAACTGAACTCCACAGTCCATCTCAGGAACGTGCGGGTTTTGGTGAGAAACTGGGAAGGAAAGGCCCGGAGTTGGAGTTGCTCCAATGGGGTAGTCTACGTAGGCATCCCGGTAAGAGGCCTGGGTGGCAGCAGTGACCGCGAGGGCCCCGCGTGTCTCAGTGCGTGGAAGGAGGGCAGGGAGACTCGGAAGCATTACACCGCAGCCGGGCCGCAGGTCATCCTTGAAGGCTGAATTGCAATGCGAACAGAAGCAAGGTCTGTAAGCCACTAGTTTGACCTGGCAAACGTCCACGGAGGATGGATAACATCTGTCTTGTTACACGCTCAAGGCGCTGTGCCGAGCACAGTGAGGCGATAAGGACTAGCCCACCAGAGACTCACTACCTCACCGGGAAAGCAGGCCAACACGAAGAACTGACAGAAGCAGAGTGCGATGAGGTGACTTCTGGTGCTCAGAAGGGGCTAGGGGAGAAATAAGGGAGACATTCACTGTGATCGCTCACTTTGTCTTGTAGAAGAGGGCCTGTTGCGAAGAGGTATGAAAGGCGATAAACAGATTGGTTCCAGATTAGGAAGAACCTCAACATTCCAATACTCGAGTCTGAATTTTACTCTGTGTGCAAGGTATAGCCAATTGAAGATTTCGTGTTGAGGAGTTGGGTCATGTTGGAGAATCAGTATGTGGCGTGACTGGCGGCAGGAGACACTTCAGGTTCTCATCACAATATTCTCAATGGGAAGAAATCACAATGGAAAAGCAGTACCACCCTGGAGGCTGAGGCAAAGGACTGTTGACCTATGATGATGTGTGGATTGTGGGAGGGTAGATGAGACCCAAGATGACATTCAAGTTTTCTGTCTAAAGAACTAGAGAGGTGGCCGTGCCATGTCAGCAACCAGAATAAAGAGTGCAAAAGAAGGAGTGGATTTGGGGACAAACAGGAATGAGATGAATTCAGTATTCAATCTGTTAAATGTAAAGTGCCCTCTGAAGAACTAGATTTTTAAAAATTTTTTTAATAAAGGGAAGTTAGAAATATGGAATTAGTGAGGCCAGACTGATGATGCTACTTAGCGAGGTTACACTGAAGGGCGGGAACAAAAGTGTCGCTGGTCCCCACATGGAGTAAGAGAAGGATGGGCCCCACAGACAAGCTGGGAGGACTGGTTTGGGTTTTGTTTGTTTATTTTTGGTATGGGTGGGGGAGGGAGCTCCAGTAAAGGGGATTGAAAAGAAGCAAAGAACTAAACCACACAGAGTAGGACGGTGTCCCAGAGATCAAGGGAGGGAGAAGGAAATGTCACAAACGGTGAAGCCATCATGCTGATGACAATAGAGAGCCGACGGGGAGTTGCAGGCTAGATGTGTGGCTGCATGTAGCAGGTGGGAAGTCTCAAGTGATTACCCAGCTTGCAGATGAGCCACACAGTTTCCTTAGCAGACATTCTGTAACTTCTCTTCAGATGAGGTTATTTTTTAAACAGCCACAGAGTAGCTAGCTATAGCAAGCTTTGCCTTTAACTCTGGCTAAAGGAGAAACTTTTTAGAGAGGTGAAAAGGATTTTCTTTTTGCTGGCATTTACCAGTTAGAAAGACAACTAACTTCACTAAGCAATGAATGTTTTATTGCTTTTTTCTTTAATATAAGAAAATAATATTTATATTTCCCAATATTTATTTTGGATCCAAATCTCTGTAACCCAGACCCACATGACCCCTTGCCTGGGGAGTCTTTTTAGGGCCCTGGTTCTTCTTGCTTCTGATTCTGGTGTCTTCCCAGTTCAGTCATGCTCCACACATCAGTGGAGTGACACATCAGTCCAATCATGTCACTTAGTAAGTGTACCAATAACACCTTACCTTGGTCCTTAATTTGTTCATTCATTTACGAACTATTTTCTGGGTGCTCATTTAGGTGCCAGGAATAGCCAGAGTCCCTATGGACATAAATATGAATGAGGCCTCATATCGGTGGAGGTGGTGAGTTACCAAGATACAAGCAAGTAGAAAAAGCAGAGGCAAATACACAAACTTGAGGTTCAGATAAGGCTATTTGGAGGTAATATTTGAACTAAGACTTAGAAGTGGAATAGATGATGATGTAGAAGGGAGAGAAGGTTACCTGGGCAAAAGAAACATCATGCCCTGGCCAGGGGGCTTGGCTGATTGGAGTGTCGTCCCAAGCACCAAAAAGTTGTGAGTTCTATCCCCAGTCAGGGCACATACGGTAGGCAGCTTGATCAGTGTTTCTCTCTCACATCAATGTTTCTCTCTCTCTCTCTCTCTCTCTCTCTCTCTCTCTCTCTCTCTCAAATCAAGAAACATATTCTCAGGTAAAGATTATTTTTAAAAAACCAACGACATCACCCTATACTTAAGGGCAGCAATAACTCGTGTGCACAGAGGAACACAAGCTGCTGCTTTGTAGAACAGGAAATGTGATGCTGTGGTCAGAGTGAGTCCAGAGAGGTGGCTTGAGAGATTGGAAACTTCCTCAC